AAGCTATGAGAGTCATTGAATTTATATAAATTCTTTGAACGTTCAGTCAAAGCACTAGTTAAGATTGAAGACTGAATTTTTTTATATCCAAAGGACAAACCTGTTTTGCAGAGAAAAAAGAAATGTGTTGAAAAATAAGTCAAAACATAAGCTTTGCCATGTGTGAGACAGTCAAAAACTTTGCAAGCCAAAATGGCAATTGGCAACTTTAGTGAGGTCTGTGGCAAGCATCTTGTGGTTCTGATGAAGGAGCTCCATCAGTGCTTCCTCTGTGGACACACAACTTCATAAGTCATTAAATGAAAATACTACATAATAAGACAGGGCTTTCTAGATTTGTCTGCCAACCAGCTGCTCAAATGAGCTTCAGCTGGAATATTTTAGGACATGTCCAGTTAGCGAGCTTTTTTCTTCTGTGTATGAATCTTCCACTGTTTAACACAGAGTCCATCTTATGCCTCAGTCTTTGTGTACTCCATGGTTCGTCTCAAATGTATACGCCCATTACTGACAAACAACATTTCTCTGAAGTACACCTTTACTGTGGGCCTGCTCCAGAGACAGAACCAGTTTACTTGAGATCTTCATCTCCCTGAAGATCAGCAGTGTAGGACTGATGCAAAATCTGTCCTATAGTCTCTGCAGTGGCCTTGCAAACATGAGCAGCAACACACTGAGGGAAAGTCAAACCCTGAGGCCCTCACTGCCTCAGGTGACCTTAGACTTTTTAGGAAGCCACTGCTGCAGTGAAGTGTTGGTGTTTAACATGTCTGTCAGCTAACCAAAATAGACACAGTTGAAAGCACATTAATTACCACTACATGTCATTAGATTTCCACATTTCTCTTTAAAGTTATTTGATACTAGATGCATGAATTCCCTTGAAAATACAAGATCCATGTCACACTCAACAGTTTTTATTCGCAGTCTGTATTTTCATTGACTTCCTGGTGCTTCCCACAAATGCACAAGCACACTGGGGACTCTCAGAAATCAGCACAGAGTTGTACTACTTATTCTTCTGCACTGCTGTGTGGGAAGCTTACTCTTTGACACTGACACGTTCCAAGCCTGTCAAAGTCTACTGAACACCACAGGACACCCTACACACACTTGACCTCATAGGGGCACTCTGACACGTTGCTATTCGGTCTGCTGGTCACGCTGTACAAGCTTGTAGTTCACTGCCACCTCCTGGTAAACTACTATTCAAGAGTATCTGTACAGCCTGAGATAAAGCACTGACATAGACACTGCCTCCTACCCACCCGAAAAGAAAAATCACACTTAAATTTACAAGAACACTTAAAGTGTTGGCAAGAGAAGCATCCAAAAATCCTGCCAGGATTCCACATACCCTCCCATACAAAAGTGACCAACATTTCTATAGGACTTCAGGTGTGCTCCTGAAGAGCTTAGTTTACACAGGAATCTGGTGAGAACAGCAGTTCACAAGAGGGTTACTGTGTCCAGCATAACACACAATAGAAGGGATGGTCTCCAACCAGCACCCAATCTTAAAGCTTCTCTGTTAGAAAAAAAATAACAGAAGACTTAAGAAAACCCTGAAACCAAAGTTGTCTAAAAAAACCCAGTTGCTATGAGCAATCGTATTTGCCCACAGTAAAACATATTTTTCTGCTACTTTAGGGGAAGCTGGAACCTAAGAAATTCATATGAATTCTTCTTACACTGCATCTGATGTGCTTTCCCCAAAAGGAAATTCAATATTCTCCAGACTACTTCCAGAGAGATTAAGGGAATGAAAAAAAATTCTGTGCAAAACTGCCTTAATAATCTAGGATGATTGTCAGCACATATAAACTTGCCTAAGCTCATTTATTTTAGGCAAACAGAACGAAATGCAGTAAAGGGCCTCTGATTAAATTACCTTATAAAATGAAGCTGGTAGGCATCTAGATGGCATTCAAACACTGCTGTTTCATCTTCACAGTATTGGCCTTCTGCAACTTGACGCTAGACCAATTCACATGATCAAAATGGGAGTCTCATGATAATACAAGCACATAGTCTTCCTCTGATTTGTTTCCACCTTTATGGATCGCTGTGTAGATGTTTATGCCTGTGTTCCAGTGGGGCCCACACCCTCTTCCTCACATGACTCTCATTCTTTTGCACTGAGACTGCCAAATCAGGCTGACACAAGAGCACTTTCCACTCTTCCCAAGAAGCGCTACTTTTTCATGATTCCATTTGCACAGCTACAAATGAGCATGCTGGACCCAAGTCCAACTTTCATTTTTATTCCTGCCTGCAAATTTTACAGCCAATATTGTTTTGAAATCCACCCGAAGTTCTGAAGGACCTTCGATTTCTCCACCGCTTTAAGCAATACATGAACTTTTGTGTAGTTAGGAAGTCAAAGCTTAATGCTGACACAGTTTACTTCTCTCCTCAAGCCCCTGTAACACAGACTTCAGAAAGCTGCTGTAGAGATGAAGAACACACTAGTCCAAAGTGCCATCACTGTAGAATAACTGGATCAACCAACACCAGTAACAGCTACCACTGGACAGAAGGGGCTTTCTCGTCTGATATGTCTAGCAGCCCTGACAATATTACTGATTTCTCTCCATTTTTTCAAGGCATTAAAGAACCAGTCTGAAGAATGCTATTGAGCACAGACTGTCCTCAAGTTTATTCACCTTAACCGAGCAAAGACTCATCAGTCAGTTTTTCCAAAGCATGCACCAGTAAAATATCCTGTGAGCATCTTAGGGCAAGTGATGACCAAGTAGAAACACTTCTTATCACCACCACCATTCCTTTTCTCCTAGCACTTTGAAGGGATTAGCTTTCTTCAAAACATTTTAAAACCTTAGTAATTCTGCCATTTCTGTTTACTATTGCTTTTACTTACCGTGGAATTGGCAGAGGGAAAGGATCTCAATCTGCCTTTAAAACCACGTTACTGCTGACAAGCTGTTGTTACAATGTTCAGTACTTGGCTCTGTTGATGGACAATTTGTGGCCTCTGCAGGGGTGAGGGAAGTCAAACTGCATCACCTCGATTCAACAGGGAAGCGCTTCAGAAAGTTAACAACTAAAATCAAGTGCAAGTTCAGCTGAGGTCCTGGCATTCCTTTCCACTATGAATTTATTCATGTAGCATTTCAAATCTGTACCTGGAATACTCCTAAAACCTTTTCAAGATAAACAATCTCCAGAACTAACAGGTATTTAATTCAGTTTGTCTTGTACTTAAAGCAGGACCTACTGTTAGTGGCAGACCACAGACACAGCAAGGGAAGTCTAAGCAGTTCTACCTCTGAAAAAATGAACTGAGTCCAAAAGATACACAGTTACAGAGTTTGTCTCCATTTCCACAGCAGAACCAGATATGGTAATGTGAAATGTAAGATCAAATGAGCAGTTGAACAGGCACAATGAGTAACCACTTGAAGCTTTTGGCAGCTTTAAATCCACTGGCTGCATTTCCCACGCTCCTCAGGTTTTCCTCCCCTTACCTGAGCTTGCTCACAAATTGGAGGTATAATGCAGGAACTTCTTGACAGTACACTAGCCATGGTGGTTTCAAAGTCAACTCTGTTGCTAATCTCAAAGCCCGTAATTTCTTCACTGAAAATCTGCAAGAACAACTCTGGAATCAACTAAGCGTGACATTTTAAGAACAAGATGTGCCAATAACAATTTAAAGGCTTAAATAAGTTAGAGAAGCTGCTCCACGCAAGTCTCTTTCACACCCCATACGGCATTCACTAGTTACAAAGGCAGATCTTTCATGCTACTGAGTGTTGCTCAGACCCAGGGGCGTATTGAGTGCTACTGATTTGAGGCCTATGGAAGCTTTTCAGATCTCTCTGCAATCAGATGGACTGTGACGAGGGACAATACATGTTTCAGTTCCCAGCTAATCCTCAAATCGACGTTTAATAGTCTCAAATGTATGTTTCACCATGAAGGAATCTCTGTGCCTTGGAGTTCAACGAAATGGGTACTGCTTTACAACACAGGAAAGTGAACTTCTGCACACACCTAACAGCACCATACATACTGTTTAAGAAAAAAAAAATGTAAAGTCAGTTAGAACTAAACTGAACTGATTTTATTTCCTTCCAAAAAGAACAGACACTAATTTAACTGTATACAGAATTTAATTTAACTATACAAGTTTCAGTATATTGGCCTGTTCAAGAACTGCTTATATATATATATATAAAAACCCATACTGCCAAAATTCTAATGCATATTTTACAATTAAATGCACCAACTTTCTTTCTACCTCTAATAACCTCAGACCAGAGCTGCAGTGTTCAGATTAACTTACGTACAGATGAAAATTCCCTTGGTTTTAAGTGCAATTTTGTTATTACACGTTTTTTTCCACTATTGCCAAAACTGAGCTCAAAACTAAAAGTTTTACAGTACTAGCAATGAAAAATGTGATGAACCTTGTAAGAACAGAGTTCAGAAAAAGATTAACAGCAGTTTTTACTATATTAAAATGTCACATCCCTCTAAAAAATACTTCTGCATTTCTGTGCATATTCTTCTGTTTATTGATCTGTCACATTTTACTATAGTATCTGCAAATTTCTTATTTTGAACACTTGAACAAATGGGTAGCAACCACTTTTATTTCGATCATCAAAACTCCATCAAGTCCTCTAAAAACAATTAATTCCTATTTTGAAGTAAAAGGTGTCCAACGAGGTTTCAAGAATTTTCATTACACTCAAACAAGTGAGCCAAAAAAAAAAAAAAAGACAACTTTCTCTTTTCCCTGGTACAACCACTCAAACCTTACCATTCCTCCACTTTCTATTGTTATTGCATTCAAACCTCCAAGATTCCCTACCTTGCCTAAACAAAAGTGCCCTTTATTTACTGCACTGTTTTACCTATTTGCTGTCCAGGCACACTGAAAACTCCCCACTACACTGCCAAGTCTCCAAATTCATTATTCCAGTTAATGGAAGTCTAGGTAACTCAAAAAAACACCCACAAACCACAATTAGAGTCAGCAATTCTGTTTGGATATACCACCTGACGTGGTATTATGTAATTTCATCACAAATTGTTGTAATTGAATGTAAAGTAAAGGAAACTCGAGCTTATTTAGCTCCCAGTTTCTGGGAGGTCAGGAGGAACTAGGACTGCTCTGGACAACAAAAGAAAATAGACTGTGCTTACAGATCATTTTCTGCCATATTCTTTCTTTAGGAGCACTGTTTTATTGTTGCCCTTTCTATTACATGGGACGTACATATTATCAGGTGTTAATAAAAGGTCAGTGCCTGTACAATACATTCTACAACTGAGCACCACTTTCCGTAACTGAACAGGCAAAGAAATTACACTGAACATCAGCATCTGGCAGTATTTCTCCAAAAAAAGTGACTAAAATGGGTTTAAATTGATTAACACTATTAAATCACATCTAATATTTGATACTACATGATTTCATTACAGCTATACGATACAATTATACAAAATGTGTTAACATCAAAGAATACAACCAAAATTAAGATAGCAAACAAAACCTAGATAACTTTTTTTCTTTACAGGAAAATACTTTTGAAGTATGCATGTAACTGCCCATTCTTTTAAAGAAAATCTACCGCAAGCAAGTTCTCAACCTCCAGAAAAATCACACATAGCATTACTACGCATATCCCCAAAAAGTGTACAATATGCACACTTGGAATACAAAATTAAAAAAATCGTAAGCAACAGGTGAGCTTCATATTTATAAGAACGTGAAAAGAAGTCCCATTTTAGCATCGTTGTATAAAGAATTGTCTGTTTTGACGCAAGTTCGTGAATTGACCCCTCCAGCCAGGGCCACACTTTACAAAACACCATGTTCTTGAAACGGGGTTACAGAGCAAGGTAGAGCATCTTAGCAACGTCACCTTAAAGTTTTTTTGTGTGTTTTTCCTTTTTATTTACTACTTATCAAAACACGTCCTTTAGGTTTGTAGGGTTCTTTTTTTTAAAATTCTTTCCTAGAAACAATATACAAAGGGGAGGCATATTTATTTCCAATTCATATTCCTGTAAGATGCTTTGAGTCCCAGAATTTTTTCCTCCAGCTTTCACTGGTTGTTTTTGGCCTTAGCGTGTGTTAAGATGTGAGATTTCAGGTTAGTTGATTGCGCAAACTTCTTATTGCAGCCGTCGAAAGGGCAGACGTAGGGCCTGTCACCAGTGTGAATTCGCACGTGCGTGCGTAAATTGAAGTCCAGTGAAAAACGCTTCCCACAGCCTTCAAACGTACACTGTTGAAAGGAAAAGACATGCTCTATTAGCTAACAAAACAGTACTCCCTTCAATCGTTGATTAGAAGAGTCTCCTTTAAATCGCTAGACTGTGCAAGCGTGAAGCCAGGTGCTGAAGATTACTGTAGGTGAGGCTGTGAGCATCACTTCTGAACCACAGCAAAGAGTGAAACAAATGCTTTGGGTCGTTTTACCACAGTAGTGTATCTGTTCTCAAAGAGGGAAATAACGTGTAGCTTGCAAGCAAATGCTTTCACCAAAAACACTTTCTCTGCGTTTGAAACAGTATTTTGCTATCCTGTATTAGAACGCACTTCACATAAGGATTTCCCCCTTTCAGTGATAGTTTGTAAAGATTTGCTCATTTTGCCAGCTTTAATTTTAAGATCGGCTTGTAATATGTGGCAGCATGTTCAGCAGTAAATAATTTTATTTAACACACAGCAGCTCCAGCACACACATTTAAGTGAATGTCTGATGACTGCAAATCAAGTTTCTGCAATAATTAAGAAAAAAAGAAATCGACAAAAAAATAGCGTATCTTAAAACGCATACTGGAGGACACATACTCAAAAACTATGAATAACTCTGAAGATTCATAAAGAGTTGTCATGAAGTAGGCAGGGGACTTCTGGTGGCAGAAGCTCACATGACTTGATATGCACAGAAAGAGATTCAGTGACTACGATAATTTTGTTGAAAACTGATTAACATGCGCTACTGGAAATTAGTATCATGAGTTAACTGAGAAAACAGCTCTGAATCTCAGTGGTCTGCAAGTGCTAAGCTGAAAAGATCACGAGTAGAAAGAGACACTTTCCTCATTCAATAGTAACTGTAGGCTTCACTTCTGAAGTGGGTAACTTTACACCATACTTTGCAAACTATCTCCTATGTACATACGATTTGCTGACTTCTAACAGAAGACCATGGAAACAGTTAAATGATAGCCTAACCAGCTCAAGGGAACTTCCCCTTAAGTGCCTCGTCTTATTTTAGAAGAAACAGAATCCCCAAAGTCACAGGAAGCTGGGTTAGTTCCAGCCTACAGGTGTTCAGCAACCACACTGTGGTACTGATGTCTGGAGGTGCACCGTACCTGAAAGGGTTTCTCTCCGGTATGAACTAGCTGGTGCCGCTTTAGTTTTGAGCTCTCCACAAAGGCCTTGCCACATTCTGCACATACATGTACTCGGGGGCCATGAGTGTGCAGATGCTTCCTCATGGCAGAGTTGTCCCTGAACATCTTTGTGCAGCCCTTAAAAAGAACAGTGAAACTCAATTAGTAAGCAAGCTAGCGCTGATAAAGAAGGTTTATCTGCTACAGTACAAGCATTTAAAAATGCTTTTATATCCTGAATACTTTCTTAATAGTTGGCCCTGACAAGGAGACAACCTTAGATTTATTTTTTTTAAAAAGCAATACCAAGAAAACTAATCCTTTGAAAAGCTGACACAAAAAGAAAAAAGAAAGCACATAATGATAAACAACAACAAAAAAGAACCCAAACTCTTTCCTCACTTAGTATTATGAACCATGCGCAGTCAAATGAATAATAGGACAGTGTCATGAAGATGCAGCTCTTACAGAAGCAAATGAATAAACCAAATAAAAGCACTTATAGTTTCACTGGAAAAAAAAAAAAAACCTGTGAAAGACAGAACAACAGTCCATGGATACCTATGGTATATCCTCCAACGTGCTATGTCCCAAGTACTGCAGTACTACAATACAGTCTGAAACACACCACAGACTGTTCTCTAGCACCAATTTGTATGTGCACCACTCCATCTCCCACCACTCTGTCCCCTTCCTTCTCTGACCTTCTCATACCTGAGAAGAAATGGAGCAAGAGAGTCTCCAGCACATTAAGAGCTTACAGAAACTACCTTGCCCAAACTGGTGGCAGCATGTTGATCGCTACCACCTTGAGGTATAAAGAGATTGCCACTGCTTCTACAGCTCCTGCCTACAAAGTGATACTGGGCAACTGAAAAGTAAGCGAATCTCAGAGTTAGAGCCAACTCAACCTAAAAATAAAAGATACATTAACTCAGGTAGAGCATCAGGAGTCTTAATCTGTGATCCATACTGCATCAACACAGAAATGCTACTTGTGATTCCAGTGTACACTTAATTCCAGAGTACACTTAAGCCAGCAGTGATCTAGGGCTCTCTTTACCTAATCTTTCTATACCTTATTTCACATTTAGTGACAATCAACAGACATCTATAATGTTTTATGTCTTCCTCAAGGTTCAAAATCCCTCAGTAAAGTACTATTAACAACTGTAAATTCTATCTGTATTCCAAGTGATTCTGTTTAAGCTTACAAAAAACTAGTCTACCAACATCAGAATGTTATGAGGCCTAACATTCAACATCAGAAACTAAAGGAACATTAAACTGCTAATCTTAAATTCTGTAGCCTTTCTCTCTGGATTTCCTGCCCTCCGCCCCCCAAAAATAACCACCATATTTAAATATGCCTTATTTCCTAAAAAAGGGTGAAACACCACGTTCTGGAAGAGTTTTCTCTCCAGGCACTAGAATTTCTTCGGCTAATTAAGAAGCGTTGTGCCACCATTCACTGCAAGTAACAAAACTGAGTGAGGCAAAGCATCACCAAAATAAACATACCATCAACTTTTTTTGCATTTATTTGAAAGTCCCTACTTGCCTCTAATACAAGCAGTTATGTCTTCTACAATAGTTTTCTTTTTTAAACTGAAGCCATAAATGCACAAAGCCTAGAAACATTAGAAGAGAGAAAATGGAAGGACAGAATATTCTTTTTTCCCCCACCCCTTGTTCAGATGAAGTTGAGGCTATGGAAAAGTAAATCAAAGAAATGAAGGCAGCATTCCTCGGTATTTTAAAGAGTAACTGTTCCTGTAACTCCACCTACTATACTACAATAAAAACATGACATCTGTAGAACGTGAAGAACTGGAAATCAATATAAGCACAGAAAGGAATCCAGGACTATGGCTGTCAGGAAGCCGCCTATCCACGCTCTCTACTGTGTGCTATTAGCTATCTGCCCTGACTATTTGCTTAGGCTCACACTGATCTAGACCAGAAGTCAGCAAGATTGTATTTGTCATTCTTCATTACAAAGTCAGCTAACAGAAGCTCTACAAAAGCTGGATAATGCAGTAAAGCTGGATGCTACCAATCTAGGTGACTGGCAACATTTATTCAAGACAGAGTCTTCCCCATTAACAGTGGGTCAGAATCATCTCTCCAAAATGCCTCTCTTTTCAAGACGATGCACCTTCCAGCTCTGTGGAATGGAATTCAAAGCCTTCCAATAGTGCTGACTTTGGCATCTGCACCGTAAATTGCTGATTCCTGATCTAGACTCCCAATCTGTCAAAGTTTCCAAGCAGAGGATATAGAGATCTTAGGAACGTACTTTGAACAGCTTTCAGAACATTCTTTCAAGTATGTATTCTTGGGTGGCAGGAAATCACAACAGTAAAACCAGCATGTTAGGGACTGTGCATCATGGTTACCAGAAGATTAGGGATGCACTAACCTTAAGACAAGGAATGGGAATAATATATTATTGAGTGAAAGATTTTTAAGGAAGCCTCTAAAGAATAATAACTAAAATACAGTTAACTGAGTGTAGTCTATTAGTAGTAAGATATTTTAGTTATACATTCTTAAGAGAAAACATCAATACAAAACTCTGATCTACAAATTACTACCTACTCTGAAGCCAAGTGCTTCACTTACTTTGTGAGGACAAGCTATCGTTCGTGGAGCATCATCTTCTTTAATTTTTCGTGGTTTCATTCTTAAAGATAAAACAAAAACACACAGAGACATTAGCGGAAAAACATTAGCACACAGCTCTCCCAAAATTGTCTCCATAACGTGCACATTTATTCAACAGTATTACTTTCATCAGTAGTACCCAGTTTATTATTTTCAAACCCATCATAATAATACTAACAGCATGGTTTGGCATTTTTAAAGTTCTGCTTTTCCAGAAGGCCCTCTCAAAAGCAGAATAAGACACAGAACTGTACCTTCCTAGTCCTTTGAGCTTGTGGAAAAACAGGGTTTTTCTGAGAAACAGTTTTTTTTTTTTTTCTGCAATTGTAGCTAGGAACTTTTATTTGAAAATGCCATTTCTGTTGTGCCAGTACCCACAAGGCCTATTTATCATCACTTCCTCTCCATCCCTGCACCAGGACATGAAGGACAAAGTAGCCTCCATCATTCTTCAGTGATTTCACTACACAAGCCTTCAGAAGAAAACTCTACAGAACCAAGGCAGGCAGGAGGATTGTGGAATCTACATAGATAATACAGACATAGAACCATTAACAGTTGGAAAAGACCTTTAAGGTCATGGAGTCCAACTATTACCCTAACACTACCAAGTCCACCACTAAACTGTGTCCCTAAGCACCTCATCTACATGTCTTTTAAATACCTCCAGAGATGGCGAGACTCTATCACTCTTCCTTCGTCAGCCTGTTCCAAGGCCTAACAACCCTTTCAGGGAAGTTTTTCCTAATATCCAACCTAAACCTTCCCTAGTGCAACTTGAGGCCATTTCCTCTTGTCCTATCACTTGTGACTTGAGAGAAGGGAACGACCCGCACCATGCTACAAGTTCTTTGCAGGTAGCTGTAGAGAGCGAGGTCTCCCCTGAGCCTCCTTTTCTCCAATCTAAACAACCGCAGTTCCCTCAGATGGTCCTCTTAAGGCTTGTTCTCTAGACCCTTCACCAGTTTCATTGCCCTTTGCTGGGCACACTCCAGAACCTCAGCGTCTTTCTTGTAGACCATTACAGTAACAGAACATAATAGCATCCACAGATTCTGCTCTTGGCAACTGACAAGCAATCATTATTTGCTCTTGGTTGCTGATACGGATTTTCACCACTGCTTTATGGGTGCCGCTGGTCTCCACTGACTATGTAAAGAGCCCAGAAAACAATTGCTTGTGTGCTAGGTGTTCCAAATACAGTAAGAATCCCTGAAGAAAACAATGTTAGAACAGTCCTGTTTTAACAACCAGCTGTCTGAAAGTCAGAGAAGAGTCAGCTGTGTAGACACTATTCTGGATAAGTGCACTGCACTTTTATCTATCTTTATTTTTCAAGCCTTTAGTGCTGTCTTCAAAAAAAATAAAAAAGAAATGGCTTATCTCCACTTCATGGTGGAGGTAGGCAGGTATAAATAAATAAATCCAACTCAGACAGCTGCGTAATGAGGTTCTGCACACTCCAAAACCTTGCAGTATAAGGGGAGTTAGTCTGTTTAAGTGAGTCCTTAAACAAATTTTCTTGGTACAGTACACGATAGTTCTGTATGCAAGATTGCTGAATATCTATAAATTAAACTAAAGTTTTTCTGGTGTTCTCTCTAGACTTCATTAAACACAGGCGAGCGGCTCAAATTTAGCAAAAGTATTAGAATTTAGAAATTTATTCTATTAGAAGAGAAAAAAAATCAGAATCACTATTCTTAACATCAAGGAGAAGACTCTGTTGCTAGCCAGGACATTTTTAATCCCCACAGGAATTCAATTGCTGGAAACATATGGAAGAACTGGGCTGTAGAAGAAATTTCCAAGTAGTGCATACATGGTTTTTTTCACATGTATTTTTAATAACTGATCTGAGACTGACCAAACAGCAACTTCAAAACATTCAAAGCAGTTCCCAAGAGCTGTAGAGAAAATAAGCTAAAATCCCTCCAATTTGACCACATAAGCATTTGTTTCTCTGTGGGCAGGGTCCAGTCTTCTCTGGTACTGTCACATTCCTATGCAGCCAAAATCTGCTGTTTAGCCTGTCTCCTCCCTGTGGTCAGGTGGGAGGCAACAGCAACAGGCCTTGTGAAGCTGAATTAAGGCAAGAGCAGTGAAAAACCTCCCCAAGAAGTCCTGATGACTGGATCCAGGAAAAATCACCTTACAACTGCCAGTGGAGTCATATATGATGACTCCTATGGCTCTGTGGGCTCTCATTTGCCCCTCAACAACCTGACTCCTCTCAGCACTAGTTGCAGCACAGTTCAAGTGAGCATGTACAGACTAAAGCACTCAACAGTTACCTACTTCACAAGCACAAAACCCCAAGGATTTGTGTGTGTTTTTCTCTAAGTGGAAACTTGCAAAATGGTTGTCTCAGCACCTCCAAACTACACTGAATATGGATGCAGCATTCACTGAAGAACACTGCAGTCTCCTGCAGGGTTAAAAATACAGACATGACAAAGAGATGGAAGCTAGAGAGCATCATATCCAACGATCCACTCATTTACAGATACGAGTAGCTCCTAGAAGAGTATGAGGTATTTATGTTGACAAAGCTCCTCTTGCACCATCGTCAGCAGCATACCTGAACATCTCATCAATTTATGAGCAGAAGCATCCTGAACACAGCAAACTTTAAGATAGCAGAGGCTGATGTACAGGAACAGATAATTTTCCTGATAACTTTTCTTTTTCCAAGATTACAGACCAACTTAGATGACTTTATTGACGAGTTTCCATTTATATAATCCAACTGGGGCACAGAATGATTGTGCTGTGTTTAGTTTACGTAGCCTCTTTGAGTAAAGTATTAAATACCTAAATCCAAACAAGTGATTGGGATTAACTGACTGAGTACGATCTCTAGTGACTAGACTAGTTCCAGACTGGTAGTACGACAGGCACTGAGGCTACAGGAAATCACACACACAAAAGCTGTCTTACAGTACCCCTCAGAAAGCTTTCAACTATCCTTTGCATGGATTCTCCTTATTATGTCTCTAATATTTTGGTCTTACTTTAAAACTAACTTTCTGCAAAAGGAGACCAGACTAGAACTTGGGCCGTTGACCTTAAGTTACACTGTTGCAGGTAGCTCTCAGCTGGTAGTTAAGACTCTTGGCTCCCACTCAGTAGAGCATCTCTACCAGCTCCATCCAAGCTTCCTCAGCCTGAAACATTAATGAGAAACAGAACTCATACAACTATTTAAAACCATTACAGACACACACATTAATGCCTGGGTGGAACTTTTGAAATGGTTGCCTTCACAAAGTCAATTTACATGGCAAGACCAGAATTTTCATTTCTGCAGTGAATTTATATGAGCTATGCCTTGTAGTAGCAACTGCAGACTAGCTGCAAGACTACCAAGCATACCTTTTGGATCAAGGCACTGGGACACTGTGACTAAAGGCTAAGTCTGTTAACTTGTACTGGGAGGGCAGAGGGACGGAATGGGGACAGCAGAGGAAGCAGGAAGGTGTGCAACCCAATAGCTTCACAGAATGAAATCCATAAAAGCACACTCTCTTACCCATGCACAAAAAAGGCTGAGTGAAATTACAGATATTAAACCACTCAGATCCTCAAAATAAAGCAAGCAACTCTGTCACTGTGCAAAATATCAAAAAGTAAGAGCTGAACACCTCCTTTCATCCACCCAGCCGAACTAACTGAAAGAACTGTACCTTGACAGAACCAATCCACACCCCAAACCTCTGTCATTCTCCACAACTTATTGTGTTGTAGATAGACTCAGTTATAAAAGTCAGCCACAGGAAGTGTTAAGGCTAGGAACAATGGAAATTCAGAAGTCAAAAAACAAATAAATACCATTATCAAAACTTCCCCCTTGTTCCATTCTTCATCACTCTGATAAATTTCTGTACTCCCACATCCTTTCTTCTCCCTGTATGCAAAAATCTAACCTAAATAGCATTACTCTCTCTCAAGCAACTCCTCTGACACATCCTAGAGGTCCCTGATGACTAGCTGTGATGTTCATCCATGCCGATAAGCACATCTCTAAGAATAGTTATGAGGCAAATATTCTCTATCAGCAGTCTCACTGACACTCCTAATCTGTTCAGTCACTCTGTCATTCCCCTTGTATTGCCCTGCTGAGGCGTAAGTAACATGAGCGTCACGGCCCTACACTGCTACAAGAACTCATTTGTGCTGGAGAACTCCTGAAACTGGCTAGACTGGCTTTTGGATAAATAGACAAAAGGGGAGTGGTGCAAGGCGTCCTAGGAATCTGTCCATAGAGCCACAAAGCCCACAGCCAGAATCGTACCATGCTTCAGTCATTTAGGTAGGGAAATCTCATCAAAATAAGTTCTCTGTCACACCAAGATTCTGTCAAAAATAATTACTAGGTTTGTTCCCGTTGTGGAGAATTTCAGATGTGTAAACAGATAGTGACCTTTGCAGTTTGGTACAGAGCAAGGCATTTCCCCTCCCCTAGAACACTTTGGGTAAAGCAACTATCGGATCACTGCCCTTTAAGCTTCTCTGTAACAAGAATAAAACCAATATAAAAGCATAGACCTTATAAAGAGGCTTAAATCATAAATCTAAGTGACTAGAATGCTTTGTCACTTTTAAGCAGGGTATCCAGTTCCACACTCTAATGCTGTTTCCTCTCCTTTGTTTTCTATCTGTTTTGCAAAGTGGATGGAAAAGAAGGGCAGTCCTCACAATGGCTCTCCTTCAGAAAAAGTACTAAGCAGAGCAAGAGAAGAAGCCAGGCAGAGTGAAGTTTTTATCACTAGGACCATCACTGTGCCAGCTTCCCAGCCACAGGATATTCCCCTTTTACTTCTTAGTTTTACTGTTGTCTTTCACCAGTTCAGTCATGTATCTGACTGGAAGGTAAGAGGGATGGAGCAGGCAATCAGGGATTTCATTTTAGTGGCTTTGTTTGAGGGAATTTGCCATATGGACCAACTAGAAATATGTCTGCTACTTCCCCAAGCTTTTATTACCAACCAGCTATGACTTCCAACTACAGAATTACTTGTAATCAGTTTAGACTTAGATGAAACATATTATCTCACTTGAAAGGATTTCCAGTGTCTTAGTCAAACACATCAAATAGGAACATGGTATTTATTAGATTTCTTTCTGCGCAGACCATCCACAACTAAGGTTTCACATTCTGATATGACTGCCTAAGAGAAATCAATTTTTTTTTTAATTGCGTTTTTAAAGCATACTATAGACAATGCACGAGTCCTACAATAGAATAAGAATACTTGGTAAAAGGCAATAAATTGCCCAACCAGATATAATTTATTGTTATTCATCTATGCATTACTGAGCACACCCTAATGTCCTGACACAACTTGTTTATTCACAGTGTTTTCAATAGTTTTAATGTATCAAAGCCTCCACAGGAGTTCCAGTTAAAGGATAGATTCCTGATACATGACTCAATGACAAATGGACTAAAAAAAGAAGTGAAAGACAACTATATCACAAGAGACAGTTCAACTGCTCGCTCTCCTAGTGCCACCTAGCTGCTGAGCAGCAGTGGTGCCCCTTGTAGACGCTGAATTACCACAGTTTTAGGTTTTTTGCTTGTTTCTTCTGGGTTTTGTTTTAAGGGTTGCAGAGCTACAGAGGACTTCCAATCATCAAGTACATTCCTACATTAACTCTTGCTAACCAGACCATGATCAGAACTCAAGAACCTTGCCTGACAGCTGCTACTGCTAGAATTTAAACATTGCCCATTTAAACTTAACCTCAGAACTTTATTCCTAAGAATCAATGCAAATATCTCAGTCAATTTAGCCTAAATCAAGACAAGCTGCATGGTTACAAACAGTGCAACCAGCTTGGTTTTGAGTAGCTCATTTCTACAAGCATAAAGTGAAATTCTTACAACTACTTTAATGAAAACAGGAAAGCAATATAAAATAACTTGCTCTCAACTGCACAAAATACACTTAGCATACAATTTTACTAGCCAGTTCATGCTTCCTTGCACGTGGACCATGCATTTTTTCAAGTCATCAGAACATAAATTTGTTATCCAAAACCTTACTCACAGCATGTGAAGCCACTTTAAGAAGTAGCAGTTTCAAATTCATGTGCTGCTCAAAGTTTTCAGAGTACAGCTACTGAGAATTTCAAAATTCTTAACTGTAAAGCAACCCGCAATGCTTGAAGCTTTCAAAGAACTTTACACTAAATAAACACATTCTTTTAGCATGAACAGCTGTATTCCCCAGGACCTCCAAATCCAATTCCAGTATATTTTTCTTCCAGTAATACTGCACACAAGCCATCTAGATCAACAAGGCAATTGATCAGTATAAAAACACATTTGTAGAAATCAGTGTTTGAATTCACACTACTAGCTAAAAGAAGTTCGCCCCTGCATCACGGCAAGAGGGCCAAGACCTTAATAAGTGATATTCAAATTCTAATACACCCATATTCTTCAGTCTCAGCTATACAATCACTTAAGATCTAACATGGAACTAGCAGAGTGCTTTTGGTTTTTTTGTTTTGTTTTGTTTGTTTGTTTGGGGTTTTTTTTGGTTTTTTTTGGTTTGTTTTTTAAGGCAAGAGTAAAAATTCGACAGTCATTGATTCTGACTAAGAAATAAAAAAACCTTTCTTAAAAGAGAAGATGCTTCAAGTTTTCATTTATCTACAATTAAGCTACAGGAACAATTCTTCATAGGTTTTGAGCAATTTGGGGATGTTGCTAAAGGTGGTGTCCCCCCAGGTTGCTTACTCTGCCACAATGTATTTTTCTTAGGACTAAAAGGGATTACATTTTTTCTGCTGTACACCAATACATTAGCAGAAAAGAGATACTGTACACATAGAACTCAATCTTTCCATCTGCTACAAATTCTAGCTCTATGACTTCCTAGAATATTCTACCGTGAATGAAAAAAAGGTAGCAATTTTAAATTACTGTCAACTACCACTATTTTCTCAACAGAAAACTGAACTAAAACCCAAATATGCAGTACATTTTACAATATTAAAAAATACAGACAGATCTGATGCAAGCAATCTGGTCATTTCAAGAGGCCCAAATCCTAGCAACCATTTCAAGCAGTCATGAAAAAAAAGTATTCAGTATTTGCATGGAGAATATTCTGTGAGAAACTATTTAAACTTCCTAACAAAAGACAGCTATTTACTACTTCAGTGTTTAATAGAAGCAAAGATTTCAGCATGTCTTGAAGTAACTGAGAATACCATTCTAAGCACATGATGAACAGAAATGTCTGAGTAACATTTTAGAATTAGAATGCTGTGTACACTACGAGTATCACTTAAACATGTGTTTTCACAACAAGCTGTATTAACCTGTCAGCAGGTCTCAGAGGAAAACACAATAATTTTGATCAACAATAGTAGAACAAGTAACAACAGTATAAATAGCTAGAACCACCCACCACTTTAGATAAAGGTCTGTTTTCAGTTATTCATGATGTGTTTTTATAAATTTCCAGATCAGATAGCCTGAAGCAGGGAGCAAGGCCTGCAAAGTTATCTTACTAGAAGTCTTCAAAAATCTGTAATTTAATGGCTTTCCTGAAAATAATTGTGGGATGAGGCTGTGCTGACAATCCTCCAACACAAACACGTTGAAGAGTAACAGAACAAACTTGTGAAAAGCAGCAAAATCAAAAGAGGTAAAAGAAGAGTAGCTGCACCCACTGGACACCAACATCCAACTAAACAAGAAGCCAGACCGGAACTTGTCTGTCTAGCAACTAGCTGAAAAACCCAGCGGTAAAAAAACAACCAACCAACAAGAAAACAAAAACATACTTCTCCCTCTACTATCTGACCCAGGAAGTAAGAGTAACAACATCTGACCATCTGCCCACGCTGTGTGTCAGAGTTGTGCTGAAGAATAGCCTGGTGGTAACAAAATCAAAATAAGTGTAACTTCATACATACAAAGTTTTGCTTTCAAACATGGGAAAATAATATTATAGCTGCTGCAGGAAGCTAGCTCAGATATTTGGAGACAGCTGCAGTAACACTGCTGATGCACTAAGTGGAGGTATATGCCTTTGGTAATTACAAGCACATGCACACAAAGAAGGGGACCAAGTACATACTGCATTGGCAACATTACTGTCACAGCTTCCAAGTGCCAAAGCAGACTTCTTTGGTAGCCCACTGTCTGGTGGCCAACAGCTGCACTGAGCACTCCATGCCAATCTGCAGTGCAAGGGGGGAGGAGACACATGACAGTTTCTGCATTCCCCCCACAGCACAGAGCTTCCCTCACTTGACCTCTCTCTGAAAGTAAAAGTCACCTTTTAACTCAGGCCAGTGTGTTGATGTGTAAATGAGTGACAATTTCGATTCAGGAGAGGAAAATCCAAGCAGAATAGCTACCAATTGTGAAACCACAATTAGCAGTGGCAATTGAAAGTGCAAGACACCAGTCCATTAAAAAGAAGTTTAAGAGCTAGGGCTTAAGTAAGAAGCAGGTGAAAAAGGCCAGCACGTGGCTTTACAAACTAAATATTGTAATCCAGCTTTCTTGCACTGAACAACCTGAATACAGCACTTCATTCACCACATCCCTTGGTGCTGAAAAATCTAAGAGTACTCACATGAAAGACACTGTGATGTAAAAGATGGAGTCTATCACTGTATTTAGGTCCTGCCTTACCCAACAAGAACTAAACACCAGAATTCATTAAAGGAGTCACTAACAAATATAAACCCCAGTTATTTTAATGCATTATCAGCTATTCCAGTTTGAATTAAGTCCCTTTTTACAGAAGATGATTAAATGGAACAACAAGACATGCTAAATCTACCATTTATTTTGTCTAAGTGTCATAATTAAATCAGTGAAAAAAAAAAAAAAATTTTAGTTTAAAGATCCTTTCTTCCTACTTACCTAGCAAATTCAGCCAGTTGTTTGGGGTCTGAGAGGTCAATGCCAGGTATTCCACCAGGAGGAAGTTTCTTTCCTGTCATGTACTCTGAGTAATCTGGAGGAGAATTCTCTCCAATGATCTGCTCTTCCACCACTGTTTCATGGTCAATATCTTTCTTATCATCTGAAATACACAAAATACTGAATTTAATACATACTGAACATCAGAACAGCAAGTAGGGTATTAGGCTGCATCTCAATACAAATTCACTATTGCTGCACACTTAAAAGAATACACTGTGCCTCCAGATTTCCATGCCAACTGCAAAAAGACACCCATACACTGACAGCATGAAGAACACTGAAAGAACACAGTGGGTAAGGAAAAACACAGAGGTTGTGCATCTACTTAGAAACAAACAGATAAGTTGAACAATCCTATGAATGTTGGCTGCATTTGAAACATAACACACTTTTCCTGAAACAATGCCTAAACAACTTCCTTAACCTCTTCAATACTAACTTCCACCATACTCATTTTGGATCTTAACACCAGTCAACAACAAAGCAAGCCTATCAGCTGAGTAGCAGGGACTTACCTCCAACAGAAGTGTCAGAGAGACAAAAAAAAATTAAAAAACTGCTAATGGGCTTCAGCAACTTCCCATAAAATTAAAGTTTTTCAAGGCTTGCAGACAGGTCTGAAAGAAAGCAAAAAGCTAAACAGTGTGTCTCCCTCCCAGGTGGGCTTCTTTCTTCCGCGGTAGAGGGCAGCCTGAGTTCTTTCCGAATCTACTATGTAGCTGATAGGAATCATTCACACCTTTGATCTGCACCGACAGTTAAGATTCTGCTACTTATCTGCTCTAGAGCTCCTCCTGTGGATTTGTGCTCAATGACTGCAGTGAAACCAGGTGTAAGACCTGCTGTTGCTGTCTACTCACATTCAGACTCTAGAATATGCCAACCCACAATGTTTTCTTTCTCCTCTTGCTATTTTATAACAGAAACTAGAGAGAAACAAAGAAGACAGAGAATGTAAACATCCACCGATGTTCCTCAGTGCAGTGCTCACACCAGCACTAATCCTGTTTTCCATCCTCAAATACACCTAGGACAACAGATAGGATTGTAACTACTCAGCTAAATGGTAATAAACTTGCCATTACACTACTCCTACCCTGTGTACGGGGAGCAGATTCTGCAAATCACTTTAATACACAAATGGCCTGAAAAGTCAAAGTACTAACAAAAATAACAGGAAGTTTAATTTCCCAGGCAGTGTTTAAGGAATGGAAATATACCAGGTGGTAGGACAGAAATAGTACTTCCCAAGCAAACAAGCAAACAAAAACCAAACAAACAATAACAAAAATCATAAGGCAGAAAACAAATGAGGCAACTTTTTTTTTTCCTTCTTCCCTAAACAGAAACACAGGAAATAACACTATTCATTACTCAGTAACTTAACTTAGGAAAGCAAGGACAAGACATATGCAAATAAAAGAAATATACCAAGGACAAATTTCTATTCAATTTGTAATGTCTGCTTTTAATGTTTGCCACTGAGCTATTTCTAGAAATGTTACTGCTAGTTTGGGGTTTAATCTGATCTACCAGATCAAATAGCAGTTCATGTATATGTTCCACGGCAAAAGAGGAAAATAGATTCCAGTACTGCAGACAGGAGTGTCAATAAGAAACTATACCTGCAACATCAAACTGCAAATAAACAACAAAATTGAGTACTTGAACAATTTTTCATTCTGATCTAGTTTCCCACTCACCACACTACCAATGCTTCCAAGGAGACAACCAAATTTACCTTAAGCAAGGGTTATATGGTAGGTTTTATAGCAACTGCATGAGTTACAAGTTCAAGTTGATAAATCTCCACTTTGGGAACAACTTTTTTTTGAGAAAAGCTATTTAGCAATGCCTAAACAGAGAGGAGTTATAAAGCTCAGAAGAGCACAAAACTTCTGGAACACTAAAAGTGATGCCTTCTCCATGCTGCAGACTAGAGTGAGATCAGGTGCCTTCAATGCAGCCATTTCAACAGCCACCCAGAACTTCCAGTTTGACTGTTTCATGACATTCATAACAGAAGTAAGTTTTCATTTCCTGCCTCAGATCAGATGCATGAGTCAACGGGGAAATTCTGTATACATCCATAAGATCTTTCCTTCCCTAGCGTAAAGGCCCACTGTTCCACAAGGCTTTCTTGGTATTCGAGGGTCAGACTGGAAGAAAGTCAGCCTTCAGTGCCTCTACTTCCCAAAAGCCTGCCAACATAAATCAATTCCACAGCTACTCAATTGCACAGGCTATTGGAGTAAAACATGAAACATTGCTTTGATACAGCACAAAGTGAGAGAAAGTATACCTTGTACTGATAGTTATGTGAGAAAAATTGTATTTTCCTATACCAAAAAAAAAGGTCTCTCTACAGTAGTACCTACCTGCAGTTTTAAAAAGTACTTTAAACCAATGCAGACTAAATGAACAAAATAAAAAACATTTACCTTAAAGTGTTATATCAGGCTAACATCCTTCAAGATAGAAGACCTAGTTCACATCAAAAATCAAATACTTTTTCAAAAGTAGCAGCAGACTTCAGTAGCTCTTCAGTATCCAGACCTAGTTACAAACCACCCTACAACATTATCAACTCCCTGGGAAAACAAAACAAAAATACCTCACAGAAACTCCACACATGCCTCTTTTGAAGACATTTGGAAGAAATTTACCAATGTCCTCTATGCATAAATTTATTGCAAATTTCTATGTGATCCCCTACCAACCTGGACTAGGCAGATCAAAGTTTGGAGTCTGAAGTCCAAGCAAACTTTCACTCAGGCTGACAAAATTAACCAATACTCTCACTGGACACAGGACAAGCTCACTGCTTGATGTTTTCTGCCCTGAAATTCTAGTGACACCTCTGAAGTAGTGCAGTACAAATAAGGCATATTAACTCCATGTAGTTTATGCCTATGCCAAGCTTATCTGGATGTCACCCATGCACAATAAATACAGACAGAGCCACACAGTCAGTCAGGAAAAGGAAATTAAGTGCTATATACTATCTGACCTGCTTTGTTTTTTCCCTTAAAACCACTTGAGAGTACAGTAGATACAAATATAAAACATTCTGCTTAAGTGTGTATTTCATATTAATTCTTACAGATCTAATGCAGCTTTCTGTAAGGAATTTAGAACATTATTTTAGTCCTGTCTTCTGAAATACATTGAAGATCTGAACATATGTCTATTAGTTAATTACTTTATCTTCACAAAAATATGCTCTACCAGTCACTGGAATAGCAATGTCCAATATTAATCTGTTTTACAAAGCTGTAAAATACTAATTTGCCAGAGATGCCACAGATATCCCCCAACATCCTTCTATGTCCAGTTACATTAAGACAGATATTTAATCTGAATTGTGTCATTCTATATACCTGTTTAGGACATCTCAATAATCCTCATGTTCAGAGTCCTTCCATCTGCACATCTCCCATGCCCTATATGCAGACAATATATACCCTAAACTGGATTCACTTCTGCACTTCAAAGCAAGTATGTCAAGCAAAATTTTATTAACATCAGTGCAAGTTCAGCATATTAACCAGCCATATCTTTTGACTACCACTTAAAACATATTTCTATTGGTGAAATACTCCAGAAGTTTTTAAGGGTACCAAGCCCAAGTACCAACAAAAGTAGGAAGAAGCCAGATTACTGGGATAAAACTAGTAACTGCAGATTCCATGTTACAGATCAATGACAAAACATGGCAGAATGTTTCCCAAGACTTTATTACCTTTTGCTCTTATTACCATGTTTTATCTCTTGCAGCTCTTCTGTTGCACAGAAAATCCATCTACCTCAGAACTCTGTTATTTCATGCATTTCTAGAATCCTAGCTGCCTCCAGCTGACATTTCTGGACTTAACTCTCAACCCAAGAAGCCCTGTCAGTATTTCCACCTCAGTTATCAGATTTTTAGCTATTGTACTCCACTTCTAGATCCATAATTCTCTGAGCCATCCTCCTCCTCTATTACAGAGTAGGGAGAACACACTGTTTCATAATCGTTTGTCCCCTGTGGAAAATAGAGACTGCAAAAGGGAACTCAGAAGGTATGCCTGGCAGCAAAGCAGTGAGACCTAATCCTACAGCTTCCTCCCCGAGGTACCACGTTAAAAAGTCATTCTGCTTAGCAAATAAAATAATGAAAAACATTCAAACTTAAATTTTCTTGTTATGATTACACAGTTAAACACATTTGGTTTCAGGAAAGTCTGAAATGCAATTACATGATAAAGGATGTATTCAGCAACTATGCAGTACCAAGGCACTGTGGTAACAGCCTTGTTATTGCTACCACACTGCAACCTCCTCAGGCAAATTAGTTCAGTGGTCATGTTTGGAAGCAAAGAACCATAATTAGCTTGTTAAATAATACAGTTATTTAGCAGACATTTCTGAATGTTAAATTCCATTTTGCACAGTATATAATTTTTTTACCTAACTGTCTGCTAGTTTACCTTCCCTCCAATGTGCCTTGCACACAGATGGAGAACAGGTTCTTCTTTCCCAGTGTCACACCACTGAGACATGAACTGACAAAGCACTGCATATATCAATAGTCATCCTCTGACTCCAACATGTGTGAGACACTGGGCCAAAGCACCGTGCCCTCGTGACTCATCAGTGTCCAAGTGAAATGGACTCTCGGGGAAGAGCCCAACAGCCAGACAGAAGATTCTATTCTATCTGAAGGAGGCTAAGAGGAAACTTAACTGAGGTGTTAAGTGATGAACCACACTCATGCATTTCAACTTTAAAACAAAAACGGTATTTAAAACAGCTGCACAACAATATCTACTTTACCCTCTAAGGTTCACTGGCAAAAATGTTAGGGCAGACTCAATGCTTATGGATATCAAAACTCTCTACTGTTGTCTTAATCAGAGTCAGGAAAGACATTATCATCTTAATATTTAAGGAACTAGACAACCACTTTTTCCCTGTTATGAAAAATTTTCATATGAGACGCTTATTACCTATGTGTCACATCACAAAGAATTTTGAGCAATCCTGATAAAGACCTACAACTGAACCAAATGACTCATCTATCACTTATACTACATAAGACAACTGGTCATATAGCAGAGGATTATTTTTCTCACCCA